AARRRKTWTAWATTATAARGGCACGYGTGGAATCCCCACAGACCGMAGKGTTTCCCTGAAAAAATATAAATTATAACAAGGGTTTTGTAAAAAGTATAAATTATAAAGGCACGTGTGGAATCCCCACAGACCGCAGGGTTTCCCTGCCTCGCTGCTCTGAGGCGACACATTTGAACAAATCCCATCTGCTCCCATACCTCGTAGGTGACCCCGCTGTCTGTGCCAGCATCCCAAGGGATTAAATCCTGYACGACTTTCTGGACCCATCCGCAATCCTTGGTGCAGAGATCCTCGGCAGAAAGCCCCACGTTCCAGTCGGGGCTGGGACCCAGCATGGTCAGGAACGACATCAGGTGCCGGTGCCGATCCACAGAGAACTCGGCAGATGGAGCAGCTCTCCTGCAAATGCCGAGGAGGAGAGWTATTTTAATAAATAACTGCAGCCAGGCTTGCTGCTGGAGGGAATTGAGGGGTTTTTTTGTGAGGGAAATGCCAAAGTGTGTTCCTGTGGATGGAACAAAGCTGAGGGCACTCCCAGGCCTCAGTCTGCAAAAGCATCATTTAAGGAGATTTACACTTTTATAGGTGAAAGAGATACACAAATACACAGCTGCTTGTGTCTTAGTGCTATAATAACAAAAAAATATGTAAAAACACTCGGAAAAATTAGGGCTAAAACAGCAGAGAAATAACGCCGAGGCTTTCATTACCGGGTTGATTTTCACTCCCGCCCCCAAAGATAATATGAGCTCCAATGCCAGAAATTCTTGGAAATGCTACTGTGTGAGCAGAACAGAAYTCATTAATAGAGTTTTAATGCTCGTGTAAGTGTGAGATGAACGGGCCCTGCCAGCCCTGGAGGGTTCAGCCAAGTCTGGGGCAGATTCCTGCCATGGATGGGAGAAGGATTTCATTCACAGCGCCTTTGTCCTTGGAAGGGATGTTCTGAWTCACCTCTGCCACCAAATTCCTGGGCAAAATGCAATAAAACCCGGCCTGACTGCAGCCTTCTGTTCACACAGAGAGCTGGAACCCTTCGTGGCACTTTTCTCATSAGCAGAATTATTTAAAATATTTTGGTAGCTCTGTTCTAAATACTGGCCTGATTTCAACCCAAGTTTTCTACAGGACTTAGGTTAATACAGTTTTTTTTTTCTTTTCTCAATTTTATTCCAAAATACATTCATTCAGAGCATCTAAACGCCACATTTATTTTAAATGTGAGGTGTTTTTACAGTGTTATTTATCCTTCCTATTTTAGTTAGGTAACTAATAATAATGTACATACACTGTTACACTGTAGTCATAAGGAGTTCATTCCAAAATGCTTGCATACCTGTAAAAATGTGGTATTTTATTTGTGTATTTTTTCTGGCTCAAAGCACTCTCAGCACATTAATGAAAATAGAACAGTTCAAAGACAATGATTTTTAGCAGTTAGCATGAAGTTTAAAATGTAATATATCTAAAAGTTAGTGTATTTAGTTCCCCTTGAAAAGGCAAGTTAAGAAGCATTTGCTAATGTGAAAAATRTTCTGGCTACTTCTTTTCTAGAGTCTTTAGAAGTTGTTTCATACTGAGTAAATTATCTTACATTGAATTAAATACTCASAGTAGAAGAGCTAAGTATTTGATGTAATTAATCCTGCCTTTTCCAGAAAGAAATGCAAATTGCTTTTCTCTTTCGTTAGAGATAGAAGTCTGATTTGGGTTTGTCTAATGCAAAGTCATAAAAGAATGCATGACGGTATCAACTTCACCCAGTGAATGCAGTATCCTGATATATTTGTCAAGCACAGAGCTGTGATTAGTCTTTAAAAGCCTATTAACTGACTTCAAGTAGCTAAAGGATTTACTGCATTATAAGGGTTTCTAAGAATTCCCTACAGGAATTTTATATTTCAAACAGTGCACAGCAACAGTGTAAGCAATACTCAGCAAAAATAACAAGAGATGTGTGTTTGTGCAGCTGATCTTGAGATGGAAAACATGAATAATATGGACAGGGCAGAACAGGGACAGGGGAAAAGCACATGCAATTAAGGCTTTGAGCCMTTTCTTAGGAAAATTAATATTAATCATATTAATGTAAATGAAAATGTGTGTGCATTTAAATTATGACTGCATTTAAATTATAACTATGTCAGTGTTGAAACTGTGGAAGGGAACACTTCAGTAGGAGATCAACTCTGCCTACAGGCCTTTGATAGCAGTAAACTTGAGCCTGCCATAATTTTCCAATTCAGAGCATTTTTCCAAAAATTACCTGTCTTTGCTCCTTTGTTAAGATAGATTGGTAATGTTTTGGTCATTTTACTGTATTTTATCCTGTAACAGTTTAATTATAGAAATTAGAAATGTGAATATTATTGGAGGACAAATGGAGGCATGTTCTCTTCTTTCTCCTTTCTTGTGCACACACCCAATGCACACAAATGCTGGCTGTAGCACAAGGTTGGAAATTGTCAATAAATTTGCATGCAGTGTTTAAGAATGACGTATTTAAAATATAAATTAGAACAGAACATGGCTCTTGCTACATTATTAATGTCTATTTTTCTTTCAAAGGCTTTTAAATTTTAGGAAATAGTTCTTCTGCAACAGGTTGAACAAGGTTGGTAAAGCCCATAGGAAGGCCTAATGTGTAGATTGCTTGTTAATTTGCTGCAAAAGAAAAATGTCTCCCTTTTCCTGTATCTGCTTAAAACCAGTGGCAAATGAGAGCTGCAAAGCAAATCCTGTCCATTAGGAAAGTGCCAGAGGAGAACCAGAAGAAGAGAACCAGAAGAAAACCCTGAGAGCCCCATGGTGTGGGGGATCCCTGCTTTCCTTGGCTGSAGCAGTCAGTATTTTTCCACTGTGAGCCCAAACAGTCTGCTGGCAATTCCTGTCACACAGCACAGAGTGAGGCAACTATCAGGCAGTGTCCTGCATCCTAATGTTTTCCATTTTCTTTATTTTCTATTCYATTCTATTTCTATTAGCATGATTAGGATCTCCAGCTATAGGGATGCCATACCCCGAGCAGTGTAAGAAAATGTTTGGTTTTTTTTCCACCCTGTTTTTGTATGTATGCATTATGTGGGTTTCTGTTGATTTCTTTTCCTCTYCCCCCTTTTTAATACCGAAAGAGCACAAACAATTTTTCTTCCCAGGTTTTCTCCCTAAGTGACAATCTGGTTGCTATCACTGCAGGGGGTGGGGGTTAAGAAAGTCTTTGACAAACCARCAGAAAACTCAGCTCGCTGCATGACACCTTTTTGAGTGTTAAATCAATATTGTTGTGTTCTACTGAGGTCCATGAAAAAAAAGTAATAGGGCACACGCAAGGAAAGTGGTTGTGTGGAGTTACTGAACAGAAATAGCAAAAATAGTATTTGGCAGAATAAAACTTTGTGGTTACTTTTGGTTTGGTATTTGATAAGCATGGTGAAAGAAGTGATCAGTAAGTAAAGGAAGAAGGAAAAGGCAGCCTGAGGATACACTCCTTTTCTTTTGGATACCTAACTAGCTCAACAAATAAGACATTTATAGGGTTGAGATTGTACCCCCTTTTGAAATTACATTCTAATTCAGGCAGCTTTACAAATTTTATGCAGAGGGGAAAAAATCGGATATACCATGAATTGAATAACTACATGGAGTTCCTCTAAGCACACCTGGATTGCTGCTGTAGATAATAATGATATATTTATTCATTAACATCCCAGCACTTTGATTAAATACCTTCACTCATCAACAGGTACACCTTAATGATGTGATTAACAAATGTGAACAGATTTTTGACACTGCAAAAAAAATCTCAGGTACCTCAAGTTAGGATTGCAGTTTATGAAACTGTAGRGTTTTTGTGTGTTGTGTGCAGTTTGCCACAAACAAGGTGTGGTTATCCCACATTGTGCTGGCCACATTTATGCCTGCTTAGAAGAGCTCTGTGTCCCTTCTTAGATCACTTCCATTGCATTTACAATCAAACCATGTTTCAGGAATCACTGGACGGGTTCAGGAAACCTCTGCTCATTTCCCAAGAGCTTTGGGGCTACAAATTGTCTGCCTGGAGTAATTACAGCTGTATTTACAAAGGAAACCCCAGGGGATGTTGTAAGAGTGCTGCTGCTTTGTACCCATCTCCTTTTTTCACCTGGCTCATCTACAAACCCTGCTTGTCCTGAGAAAAACAGAGGCAGAGCAGTTCTTCCCTCTGGCATGAGAACCAGCACAGCCAGATGTTTGATGCTCCCCTCTCCCGTTAGCAATATCAGATAAACAGCACAGATTCATTTATTCAATAAAGTTCAATTTAACTTATTCTGAATGTTGGATAACAGCAAATACCTCCCTTTAACAAAAAATACCATGAAACTATTGATTGGAATATCTAAAAAAACGTAGATATTCCTTCAAAATCCTTTAAAGMATTTKAAACTAATGTTGTCTTGCTCCTCAACATCATTTAATTTGCAAATACCATCGCATGGGAATTGTATTTTGCAATCTGTAATCTCTGAAGATGCCCAACACYTTAATTAATACAATCCCCATTCCAGTTCATTCAGCATCTCTCTCCATCCMACACTCACGTGCCTTTTGGTGTCTGATGTGACCCAGAGTAAATGTTTGATTATCATTTCATTAATAACAATGCAAAAGGGTAACGACTGACAGGTTGAAATTTTGCAAATAGATTTCTGTTCACTAGAAATTGAAATGGCAACTTGTCCCAGTTACTCAGTGAGTATTTACACAAGAATGAGGAGGCAGGGTTAGGAAGGAGACACATAATTGCATGGAAATGATGCTGACGTGATTACTCACSATATTATAAAGGGAAATTATTTTGGCTCAAGGAAAGACAGCAGATGGTTGGGAAATAATCATAAAACTGTAACTACCAATGGGAGGAATATGTAGAGAAATAAAAAAAAAAACAAAAAAGCAAGGCCAGAATGGTATGAGGAAGTTTGATTTAACTGGATGGCCATTAATTTCCATGAACAATTAGTTTCAATTTCTTGCAGCRATTGTTCTTAGTTAATTCTTTCCTATGCTTTAATACTCAACATGTTCCCATGCCTAGTGACATTTGAATTTTAAGTAGAAAGTAAACAGTGACAGAAAATGGAATTGCCATATGTGCTTGCTCTGACAAAAAAATGATGGATAC